TCAATAGGGGTCATCTGCTGGTCACGACCAATCATCATACAAAGTTTGAAGTTCCTAGGCCTAAGCGTTTTTAGTTAATTGATCAGAAACCGTTTTTACCTACAAGGTCAATGTGACCTTGACCTTTGACCCCTTGACCCCAAAATCAATAGGTCATCTGCTGGTCATGACCAATCACCATACCAAGTTTGAAGTTCCTAGGCCTAAGGGTTCTTTAGTTATTGATCGGAAACCGTTTTAACATACAAGGTCAATGTGACCTTGACCTTTGACCCCAAAATCAATAGGGGTCATCTGCTGCTCATGACCAATCACCATGCCAAGATTGAAGTTCCTAGGCCGAAGCGTTCTTTAGTTATTGATCAGAAACCTTTTTTACTTACAATGTCAATGTGACCTTGACCTTTGACCCCTTGATCCCAAAATCAATAGGGGTAATCTGCTGGTCATGACAAATCACCATACCAAGTTTGAAGTTCATAGGCCTAAGCGTTCTTAAATTATTGATCAGAAACCGTTTTTACTTACAAGGTCAATGTGACCTTGACCTTTGACCCCTTGACCCAAAACTCAATAGGGGTCATCTGCTGGTCACGACCAATCATCATACAAAGTTTGAAGTTCCTAGGCCTAAGCCTTTTTAGTTAATTGATCGGAAACCGTTTTTACCTACAAGGTCCATGTGACCTTGACCTTTGACCCCTTGACCCAAAAATCAATAGGTCATCTGCTGGTCATGACCAATCACCATACCAAGTTTGAAGTTCCTAGGCCTAAGGGTTCTTAAGTTATTGATTGAAAAGCATTTTTACCTACAAGGTCAATGTGACCTTGCCCTTTGACCCCATAACCCCAATATCAATAGGGGTCATCTGCTGGTCATGACCAATCACCATACCAAGTTTGAAGTTCCTAGGCCTAAGGGTTCTTTAGTTATTGATCGGAAACCGTTTTTACCTAAGAGGTCAATGTGACCTTGACCTTTGACCCCTTGACCCCAAAATCAATAGGGGTCATCTACTGATCATGACCAATCACCATATCAAGTTTGAAGTCCCTAGGCCTAAGGGTTCTTTTGTTATTGATCGGAAACTGTTTTTACCTACAAGGTCAATGTGACCTTGACCTTTGACCCCTTAACCCCAAAATCAATAGGGGTCATCTGCTGGTCATAACCAATCACCATACCAAGTTTGAAGTTCCTAGGCCTAAGGGTTCTTTTGTTATTGATTAGAAACCGTTTTTACCCAAGAGGTCAATGTGACCTTGACCTTTGACCCCTTGACTCCAAAATCAATAGGGGTTATCTACTGATCATGACCAATCACCATACCAAGTTTGAAGTTCCTAGGCCTTAAAGTTCTATAGTTATTGATTGGAAACCGTTTTTGCTTACAAGGTCAATGTGACCTTGACCTTTGACACCTTGACCCCAAAATTAATAGGGGTCATCTACTGATCATGACCAATCACCATACCAAGTTTGAAGTTCCTAGGCCTTAAAGTTCTTTAGTTATTGATCGGAAACCGTTTTTCCTTACAAGGTCAATGTGACCTTGACCTTTGACCCCTTGACCCCAAAATCAATAGGGGTCATCTACTGATCATGACCAATCACCATACCAAGTTTGAAGTTCCTAGGCCTTAAGGTTCTTTAGTTATTGATCGGAAACCGTTTTTGCTTACAAGGTCAATGTGACCTTGACCTTTGACCCCTTGACCCCAAAATCAATAGGGTTCATCTACTGGTCATGACCAATCACCATACCAAGTTTGAAGTTCCTAGGCCTTAAGGTTCTTTAGTTATTGATCGGAAACCGTTTTTGCTTACAAGGTCAATGTGACCTTGACCTTTGACCCCTTGACCCCAAAATCAATAGGGTTCATCTACTGGTCATGACCAATCACCATACCAAGTTTGAAGTTCCTAGGCCTAAGGGTTCTTTAGTTATCACTCGGAAACCATTTGGTCTACGGACCGACGGACCGACAAGTGCAAAGCAATATACCCCCTTTTCTTCGAAATGGGGGCATAATCAATGAATCAAAGAAACTATAGTGTATTCCAATGATCAATACAAAATGTTAAGTCTTGGGTTTTCGCTTAAATAACTCAAGCTCTCAGTTAAGTATGTGATTGCATTTTGTCAAAAACCTCAGTGGAATCTCTTTATCATTAATGTAAAGTAAAATTCAAAGAAAGACAAATCCAATACAAAAAGTCAGAGGGCAATGGTTAATAAAAACCCACAATGACAATGGACGCTTCTATATTCAATAAAAAACAAATCAATAGTGGTAAATCAGATATAAAACAGAAAATATCTGTCACTTAATAAGCGGATTCATCAAAAATGTCAAATCAGCAATATTAAAGATAATCTCATACTCCGATCAAAAACAGGAACATTCTCTTTCCTAAATGTTTCACTATACATTATACGCATATAAAAACCTACAAGCAAATTTTTTCTTAGATTCTTTACTTTTCATGTGCATAAACCTTTTAATACGTATATAAAACCAATACAAAGACATCTTTGAATTTCATGTGAAAGCAAACCTTTTTTGTAAACTTTACAATTTTTTTATAGCCGATTCAGCAAAAATTGCCAACTGTCCAATCAATATAAAGTGACCGATGATGAAGTAACGTTTGTTCCTGTGTGATATACTGTATCAGCAAATTGTCAGGTACGAAGTAAGTTTATCTTGAAAAATAAACATGTTAACATTAAAGTAAACAAATCGCAACTCTTCAATGTTTCATTTGAAAAATTTATAAAACCATTTTTAATTTTTAACGGATGAAAGAGAACCGGTTTAGATATTGATAAAGGGGGCCTTAAATCAGTGAGTTTGGGTCTTAAATTTTTAATGCACCGGTAATCCAGGAAGTTTGGGTTTATAAATGATACAATAAATCATTTGTCATTCTCATATTATTACCTAGATTTACTAATCTAACTTGCATAATTTTTAACCTACACTTCAAGTACACCTCTAACTATAAGACCCTTGCGTACTTTATATGGAGTTCATTACAAAGAAATTTTCATCATTTGAAATTGAGTTTTTCCGACCAATTAACAAAAAAAGATGCATAGGCTCCAGTAATTCGAACCCATTTAGTTGCCTATTGGATAAATGATGGCTGCAATACTGATGCCTCAACCCTTTAAGACAACCCCTCAGCCACAAAGGGAAGTAGGGTATTAAGTATTTAGACTGTATTGCACTCAGAGACCAAGCCATCAACCTGTGTCTAAAATGAGATGCCCTATAAATTTTCTCATTTTTGTACATCTTAATAATGATTGTGTGTAATACATCAAGGACAATAAGATTTTATTTAACTTTACTCAGTCAAGGACTGGGCAGGGAATTTGAATTTCAAATTGTACACATGTACATATTTTTTGTAGACGATTAATTTTATTCTTGACGTGCCAATTGTGGCAACATAGATGTCTGTTTGGTACCTAATTAATTATTTCCATTATTATTTATCATATCAACTGATGAAGTTATTAAAGCAAAACATGTTTTGATAAATTGTCTAGGTTTTTGATCTTTTTATTCTTAGTTTAATGTGGTAACATCTAAGTGATTCAGCATCGTTATAAAGACATCTCTAGAAAAGTTTATAATTCCTTTCTTAATTATAAGCCGAAGTGACTTGATCCTTTTATCTTAAATTACACAGAAAAATTCATGGTTTCCTTCTATTTATAGCACAAAAATAGTTATTTACATACATGTGTGTACAAGCTGTTGCAAATCATAGGAAACATATACAGTAGAACTTCGGTAAGTCGAAGTTGAAGGGACTTGCGTAAAAACTTCGACACATCGGGACTTCGACTCATGAATCGGTCTGAATTTCATAACAAAAATCAACCCGTGACTAGCCCAAATTATAAGATCTATAACATAACCTATTTCATGTTTTTCTTTCGTTCATTAATCTGATATTTTACATTATACAATGATAAATATGACATGTTAACTTTTAACAGCTAATGATTTGGACTCCCTGTTGACGTAAACAATGAAGTTACAAAAGGCGTAACAATACGAAAGGGCAATAACTAAACCAGCTTATAGTAAATATTTCGCGTGTGATTATCACGCGACACCGGGTCACGGAAGTACTCAAATGATAGCTCTTACTGTTTACATGTTCCTTCAAATACCGCTACGGCAATTAAAATAGTAGTAATTAAAGCATTTTTTCACACATTTAAACGCATACAAAGGCTGTTTGAACACTCGGCTGTGTAATTTACACCTGTCACTAAAGTTGATCGGAAATCGTCTTCGCGGCCAGAAAAGGTGTGAAAATGTCTCGAGATCGAAGGTGTCAAAATAACCGAATAACTTCGACTTATTTGTGGTAAATTGTACTAGATTTAATCCATACGGACCACGAAAAAACTTCGACACATCGAAAAACTCGACACATAAAATCTCGACTCATAGATAGGTTTTTATAAGGAATATATAAGGGAAAAAATCGGGACTTTCATTTTACTTCGACACATCGAGAAAATCGACTAATCGAAGTTCGACTCATAGAAGTTCTACTGTATCATTTAATAACGGTAATGATTTTCAATAACTACAGTCCAACCTCTTTTGAAAGGCCCTCTGTATACCAATAACCTCTTTAATTCTTCCCGAAGTAAGATTTCACAATAAATTTAACATCTATCATGAGAGCAACTTCTCTGTGCACCAAGCAATATTTTTGTCTCCCAAAGGGTGTTGCTATGTGCGGGTTGTACCGTATTTCTTAATTTCACAATTCCAAAATGTTCCTGCTAAAAATTATTTTGTATAAAAACAAGGTACAAATATTTTCATTTCTTACCTTATTAAGGCTTCAAAACAACAGGAAGTCACCTTTCATTTAAGTTCTTATACAAAAGTTGACAATAACCAATGTGTTTGGAATTATACAGTCAAAAAAAGTTTGACACCATGTGCGAGACACTTACCACTGAATAAGGCGAGGTCTTTCATATAATCTTGGTCCAACAAACGTCTCGGTTCCACCATCACTTCTTATTTCATTGCCTCATTGTTGCTTTTTTCCTACCTCTTACTCCAAAGTCTAGATTGTTTCAAAGCACAAAAAAAATATCTAATCCTCAAAACATTACATGCATGCACTATATATTATTCCGCACCATCCAATTATTCCATTCCTTTAACAATCGTCTCAATTACGTAGAGAGAAAAAAAGCTGATAACATACGACTATAAGGTCAACAATAAATAATTTGCGAGCTTAAATACTATATCCCAATCAAGGTATGGATTCCAATCAATACCCTCGAAGATTAATTAAGTAAAGTACGAAGTAAGATGTTTTTAGGGGAAGATATTATACAATCAGTTTTACGTACACTCTTACAGGCCAACGAGGTCCTTGTGAACATAATCACTAAATCTGTGTGCCATCATCGTGACATGTGTCCCCCAATGTGTTGAAAGCTCTACATTACAGTAATTAATTATACTTTTCTATAATTGAGCCGCGTCACAACAAAACCAACATAATGGGTTTGCGACAAGCATGGATCCAGACCAGCCTGCGCATCCTCACAGTCTGATCAGGATCCATGCTGTTCTCTATCAGTTTCTTAACTTGTTATAGAGTCTGTAAGCGAACAGCATGAATCCTGATCAGACTGCGTGGATGCGCAGGCTGGTATGGGTCCATGCTGGTCGCAAACGCATTATGTTGGTTTTGTCGTGACGCAGCTCAATTTTCTTCCCTTTTCAATATTACGAAACCTGATTTGCTTACCACTTCATATGTAACAAGTGAAATATTGCACAAATTATCACACTATGATAGATTGCTAAATCCTATTTAAATACATCTGATCTTTTAAACTTTCCAAACAAGTCAGAACTACAAATTTGTCAAATCTGTTATTTTCATATTAATAATTTAATAAAAGATAAAAATTGACAAAGAATTAAATAATGACCGAAAAAATCATTGATTTAAGTAATTGTTCATCAATTTTAATAATAGCCAATGATAAACAAATCAATTAATAGCTACAGATCAAGTATTAAAACATCAATTATGAATCAATGCCCAAGTAATGTTTTATCAAGTAAAAATCAATTAAAACTTAAAAAAGTAGTAATCAATTATTAACCAACAATCTAGTTAATCAGTAATCAACTGAAACCTACATGACAGCCTTATCAATTAATGTCAATTAAAATGTACCTATCTTAATTAATTCCACTGCAAGTCAATTAAAATTTACCTCAATTTAATTTACCTATCTTAATCAATCTATTAACTCCACTGGGAATCAATTAAAATTTACCTATGTTAATCTTTTTAACAATTAAGATATACCCATCTTAATTCATTAACTCCACTATCAGTCTAAAATATTGATTGCTTAATCCAAATTAATTAATAATGATATTTCTGATGAAACCCCTTAAGGAAAACAAAAAAAAAAACGACCTCAAAAAAAACATCTTGTGTCGTATTTACCATATGATACCTTCCGACCACACACACAATGGTATCAGATCATAAGTATATTATCTATAATAATAATTTCAAGATGCTGTGTATATATATCTATATACATCTATATATATACAACACAGAAAAGTTAATCAATAAATTCTGCCCGCTGATTTCCATAACGATTTACAAAGAAAAGGCTTAATTACAAATTGATTCCTCTAGCTACGACATGGGTAATCCACTT